AAAAAAAAAAATTATGTTAGCCTAAATAAAACCTACCTGTTATTCCATGTCTAATTCTGAATCTTTCAAAGGGGGAAAATAAAAATTTTCTCAAAAAAGGAAGTTGGATGCATTTTAGGGGCTTACTCATGGTCCTTAAAATCTCTCAGCACCTCAATTTCTACAAATTTCAGAACATCCTTGGATTTGAAGGTATTTCTATACAACATGTACCTTTTAGGCCCTTCCACCTTGCTTCTATTAAAAATACACACAACCCTTCAGAAAGCCCTGAAAACACCACCACCAACAGTGTATTAACACCAACACGTGCAACACAGGCATTATCTTCCTGAGATACCCCTCAAGATTCTGTAAGTCCCACACATCATGATATTTAGGATGATGTTCTGATGCATCTTGCTTGTTTAGAAACTTTACTGGTTCCTCAAACTCAAAAATCTCAAATTTTGTTTAGATTTTTATTTGATCAGCAGGAGAATAAATGTACTCTGGGATTTCTTCTTTAAGAAAAAGCAGAAAGAAACTTATAGGTAACTAAATACCCAGAAACTCAGAGAGAAGGAAAAAATTCTTTAAGCCAGTAATTTTATCAAAATTATGATCATTACAAACAGCTATTTCTTTAAAGGAACCTACTGACCAAGAGGAATTCCTTAAAGGGTTGAGTAGAACATGTGTTTACTGTAATCAGGCTATAAGATTCTGCAGACCGCCCCCCCACCCCCACCAAAGGGCCTCCTCAGCACCTGGGTACACTGGGTTTTGTGCATCTGATCGTAGCAGAGCCTCTTCTTAAACCATTGCTCAAACACATGTGAGTCAATTCAACAAATGTTTGGTGAACACTAAGGAAAACTATTCACGTACAACATGCTTTCTCTCAGAAATTCCACATAGTTCTCAGTATATCAGCTGGTACCTATATATTTAATGTAATGTATAAAATTGTTTTATTCCCATTTTATACACAGGAAAGTCAAATCAGGACAAGTTAAATTATTTCAGTAAGGTCACAGAGTAAGTCACCACAATTTAAAAAACAAATCAAAATATAAAACTCTGTTCTGGTTTAGACTTAAAATGCCCTTTGTATTTACCCTTCCATGTGTCCTGTGCATTTTGTCCCCTCCAATCCTATCCGTTACGACCCATCCCACACGTTCATGTCACCCATCACCAACCTTTGCATTAACCACTCCTTGAGCACCTACTTGTTCCAAGCACTGTATCAGGCACTGTGCTGAACACAGTGCTGAATACAAAGACGAAGGAGACATGGAGACGTTAAAACCTAGAGGACTTATACTTTTCCTATGAGCCAGGCAATTTAAGATAATTTACATAAAGGACAAATGATTTTGAGGACTCTTCCAGGAAGGACATGTTTTCCATAATCATATTACATAGGTTTAAAAATCTTAAGTATGAAAAACTAGGAGCAGAACAAGATTTAAAAACACAGCAACCTCTGCCATTCTCATTTCTCTAGCTCTACAATCACATTTCTAGGTTTCAATTCACGTGTCAAGGCAGATAGCAGTCATACTAAGCAGAATTGATATCTAGAGTTTCACAGCATGGTTTAAAATATGGGGAAGGTATATATATTATCCATCTGCAATATTTTAAAAAATAAGCCAGAATGTATTTAAATTTATTTAAATAAATGAGCTATCTAGATTTTAATATCCTATAAGGAAAATAAAACACATTTCATTCAACTATGAATCTTTTGATAATTAAGCAGCTCATAAGTCTGTTTCAACAATGGTAAAAACATGGCAAACACTAGAAACATCATATAGTAGATGCGTGGAGATTTCCACTTTAAATGACTCCACACCTACCGTAGTGTCATTGCTGGTAACATAAACCAGGACATCAGAGGAGTTCCTGCCATTGATGTATCGGTAGCAGTTCCAGACACAGCTAATCAAGTAACCCTGTAAGTGAATAGCGATTATTAGGTCTTTCATTTCCAAACTTCAGACAATTTTAAGTCCCTCCTCCCCCAGAGAAAACCACATATTACAGAACTTTTATTTACTAACTTGTAAGTGCACATAGTAACGCTACTGAATCAAGAAGTCTTTACAATTACAAATGTTGGGTATAGTAACTTTCTGGCAAAGGGTGCTGCTGTAGCTTATTCTATCACAACCCCCACTCCCAGAAGGTAAGTGGTGGTAGAGGTGACAGGGGAGAGCAGGAGAATCTCTGAGAAAAGGTAGTTGGAAGGAGCAATTACCACAAACATTTGCTGCCCTCAGTGTCACAGATCAATCCATGTATTAACCCATTTCTCATCACATTTTAACTGTCTTGGAGATTTTTATTCTACATGATTATATATGATTAAACAAATCATATTCAAGTTAATTTTTTAAAAAACATTCACAGCATATAAATTTGCTTCGTGGTCAATAAAATTCACTAAACATCTCCATCTTCATAATGAAATATCCAAAAAGGTCATTACAATTAATGTCCAGAATAAAGCCATGCCAGGGATAAAGCAGGAGTTCGTGGGAGACGTGCAGACTGTGAGAAGCTTGCACTTCCACTCCGATCACCTGGGACTGGATTAGAAGTAGAGGACTACAAAATCCTTTTCCAGCTTTACAATGTTTTGATCAAAAAATGAAAAGATGTGGAGAAATTGGAACCCTCGTACGCTGCAGGTGGGAATGTGAAATGACGCAGCCGCTTTGAACAACAGTCTATGGTTCCTCAAGAGGTTAAAGAGTGACCATAAGACCCAGCCGGTATATGCCCAAGAGAAATGAAAACGTGTCCACACAAACTCTTGTACATGAATGTTCACAGCAGAGTCATTCCTAATAGCCAGAGAGTGGAAGCAACCCAAATGCCCACCAACTGATGGTTAGGTAGACAAAATGTGGTATATTCATGCAGTGGAGTATCATTCAGCCATAAAAAGGAAAGAAATCCTGCTACATGCTACCACATGGATGAACCCTGAAAATATGCTAAGTCAAAGGAAGTCAGTCACAGGGGACCATATCCTGTATAATTCCATTTATATGAAATGTCCCGAGCAGGCAAATCTAGAGAGACAGAAAGTACATTAGTAGTTGCCAGGGGTCAGGGATCTGGGGGTTATGATGGTGAGGATGAATGGCAAATGATAAAAATGTCCTGAAGTTATATTGTTTAACCACAGAGCTGGGTTCACACAACTCTGTGAATATACTAAAAACCACTGAAATTGTACCCTTTAAGTGGGTGAATTTTATGATATGTGAATTATATTGCAACAAGGTTGTTTTATAACAAAGAAGACATCTAAGGACAAAAGGAGTGCTTGTTAACATTTCTTGAAAGACAGGTAAAATAGGGGCGCCTGGGTGGCTCAGTTGGTTAAGCGACTGCCTTCAGCTCAGGTCATGATCCTGGAGTCCCGGGATCGAGTCCCACATCGGGCTCCCTGCTCAGCGGGAAGTCTGCTTCTCCCTCTGACCCTCCTCCCTCTCGTGCTCTCTCTCATTCTCTCTCTCTCAAATAAATAAATAAAATCTTTAAAAAAAACAAAAAGACTGAGGTAAAATACTCCGTCGTATACTCAGAATGCTGTCTTAAGCTGCATTTGTACCTGACGGTGATATTTCTTATACTTAAATGTTCTGTGATGATGTGAAGAGGAAAATGTATAATGCTACTTTATGAAATATTTCTGGACGGCAATAATCTGAAACCAGGTATCCACAATGAGAGAGAGACAGGAAGGGCGTATTTCTTAAACAATGCACACAATATTCTCATTTTATTCAAACCTTCAGTTTACTCAATAATGCCATCGTTTCTTTAGTGAGAAAACAAAGCCTTAGACTTTTTGAGAATTCTAATACAAATGAAAAAGAATGTTTGGACATATTCATTGTGTGTTCCGTAAGAAGACTGTACTCACACATTATTCTAGCAGTGAGCAGTAGCTACTCTTTGAGGCTGGGTGAGACCTCTGCAAGGACACGTCTACAACGTGAAGGTTAAACAGCAGAGGGGAAGCACCTGGGGGCAGGGGCTTCACAAGGCCAGGCAGCATTCTCGAAGGCCCCTGGCAGCACCCCAGCATTCACTTACTGAACACTGCAAAGGGGGAAAAAACCTCTGGCCTATTGTCTCTAAAAACCCAATAACTTACTTCAATGACCTTATTTCTCTCTTAACATTTCTGTCATTCAATTTCAAGAGAATTAAATATTTAGTATGTTTCCCAAATAAATGTGCAGTGGCAAATCGAGGCCATCATCAATTTGCAAAGCGAGGGGTAAGCATTGCTCCCTTTGTGGTCTTGGGACAGACTGAAATGGACACATGTCCTGGTTTGGGCTCCTAGGGAACCCATCTGATGATAAACTTTATTAAACAGTGAATTTAGGTCGTGAGAGCCACTAATCAGGTAAACTGATATATGAAATCACAGCATGTAGACTCATATTTATTTAAATAATTTTTTATTGTTATGTTAATCGCCATACATTACATCATTAGTTTTTGATGTAGTGTTCCATGATTCATTGTTTGTGCATAACACCCAGTGCTCCACGCAGAATGTGCCCTCTTTAATACCCAACACCAGGCTAACCCATCCCCCCACCCCCCTCCCCTCTAGAACCCTCAGTTTGTTTTTCAGAGTCCATCGTCTCTCATGGTTCGTCTCCCCCTCCGACTTACTCCCCTTCATTCTTCCCCTCCTGCTATCTTCTTCTTCTTCTTTTTTTCTTAACATATATTGCATTATTTGTTTCAGAAGTACAGATCCGTGATTCATCAGTCTTGTACAATTCACAGTGCTCACCATAGCACATACCCTCCCCAATGTCTATCACCCAGCCACCCAATCCCTCCCACCCCCCACCACTCCAGCAACACTCAGTTTGTTTCCTGAGATTAAGAATTCCTCATATCAGTGAGGTCATATGATACATGTCTTTCTCTGACTTATTTCACTCAGCATAACACCCTCCAGTTCCATCCACGTCGTTGCAAATGGCAAGATCTCATTCCTTTTGATGGCTGCATAATATTCCATTGTGTATATATACCACATCTTCTTTATCCATTCATCTGTCGATGGACATCTTGGCTCTTTCCACACTTTGGCTATTGTGGACATTGCTGCTATACACATTGGGGTGCACGTACCCCTTTGGATCCCTACATTTGTATCTTTGGGGTAAATACCCAGTAGTGCAATTGCTGGATCGTATGGTAGCTCTATTTTCAACTGTTTGAGGAACCTCCATACTGTTTTCCAGAGGGGTTGCATAGACTCATATTTATTTAAATGAATAATCACCGAGTCTCTACGTGCAAGGCATCAGCTTAGTGCTAGAAGGATGATAAAACTGAAGGCACAGTCTACATTCTCAAGGAAATGCAGTCTAGTTAGTAAATAGATATGTAAGTAATGAAATACTAAGACAAGGACACATTTCCCACAGGCTGGAGATAGATTTGTATCATGCCTTTCATTAGATCATTATGATAATTAAGTGTTTTGCAATTTATAAAAGCACCAAAGGGCAGAGACTGTTCTTACTCACAACTAAACCTTAGTACCTAGAATAGGGCCTGGCAGATGGGAGACCCTTAATAAATATTTACTGAAAAAAATGAATGGATGATACATCTTCCCATCCATTAGTACACTTAAACATCACAGTCACCCACAGAATGTTTTTTCCATTATTGCTGGTTATTAAATGAAGAAACCAAATCTCTGACCACATAGAGAGAAATAGCAGTGAGAGAAGCTAAATCTGACTCAACATCTCAAGGTAAAGCATTTCTAAAACAAAGGAAAATGCCTACAAAGTTAAAATGCCTTCAAGAGCCCTAGGAGGTTCTAGCTTCTGAGCTCCTGGTAATGGCAGAAAGTAGCTTGGTAGACTAACCTTCCTATAGGTAAAAATGATAAAATCTGGAATAAGATACACACACGATTTGAAAGCATGGGGGAGGGACCAAAAGAGGCAGAAATTAAAGAAGAGTCTGCCTTTGAAAGACAGATTTCCAGGAGTAGGGTTTTGAGGGTTTGCGACCTTTTGCCAGGTTGGGCAAGGACAATATTCAGGGCTGACGGAGCAGCCAGAAGGTTGGGGTGGGAAGAGTGGAACTGTAGAGGTGGGGAGCCTCGACATCCATGTATAAAATCTGCTCAAATCTCGAGCACTAAACAAGACATGCAGTATCAACATATTCAGTTCATGAGGAAAATGCTGACTCAAACGACTCCCAGTGGATCATTTTTTTTTTTTTAAGATTTTATTATTTATTTGACAGAGAGATCGCGAGAGCAGGAACACAAACGGGGAGTGGGAGAGGGAGAAGCAGGCTTCCCGCTGAGGAGGTAGCCCAATGCGGGGCTCGATCCCAGGACCCTGGGATCATGACCTGAGCTGAAGGCAGAGGTTTAACGACTGAGCCACTCAGGCACCCGGATCATTTTCCTTTTACTCCTCTTCATCATATTACTTGCTTGAAAAGACTATTCTCTCTAAATGTAGCTTCTTCAAGCTTATCGAGGCTTGATTGTTTAAAAATTGGGTAATTTTATGCCAAAATAAAGACAATGAAAGATGTTAAGAATTAAAACTTCAAAGTCTAGTAATGATTTAGAAATTTTCTACTTCCTAGTAGCACACAAGCACAAAGTATAGTGATGTTTTTATCGTCAGGTTTGCAAAGATGAAAAAGAAGCAGCAGCACTCAATTGTTGAGGGGGTGGTAAACGGTGCTCATGGAGTGTCAGTCACCTAATTTGGGGGGAGACCAATCTGACATCCTATCAAAAGCCCTCCAATTACACATACTGTCTAATTTTAGGAAATGCGTCTTGAAGAAATAAATACGTAAGTACATGAAAGATGTAGTAAAAAAATGTAGCACTATTAGGTGAAAAAGCAGAAACTGTCTTGATGTCCAGCAATAAGTAATTTATCAAATATTAGTAAATTATTATACTAGATTGTTAGAGAACACGGTTCAGAATATATTAACATTTTAAAAACAAATTACAGAAGACTGTGCACACAGATACTGTAATGACTACTGCGGTATATAACTTACTCCCCAATGTATAACATTAATGTATTCCCCTCCAAATGGATTTTGGAATAACCCTTGGTTGGCCTGTGAAAGTGTGGTTACTGTTTCCCTCTCATACAGGTAAGAGAAGAAACAGAAGTGTTAGGAAATCAAAAAGCAGTTCAGAAATCTAAAGCAAGGTAAAGAACTGACACAAGTTTGCTTACTTCCTTAGCATTCGTGAATACATTTAACAATATTTAGGCCATAAGAAAAATCTGCATGGCTTACCTTAAAAGTCAAGATAATGCTGATAAACAGAAGAATAATAAGGACCAAACAGGTAGGATTCACGGACATGATATCATCTCTGTAGGGAAAATTAGGAGGCTGCAAATAAAAAGTACCTTGTTAGCAAATTTCATTAATCATTCCAGACTAGATTCCTTAGGCATTAACCAGATGTGCTTATTAAAAAGCAATTAGTTAAAGCAGATAGTTATTATTTAAGACCACTACAAACTTTCTAGCCCATCTCTAATGAAAAAGTGACAAAAGGTGTGTGGAGAAAGGCCGGTGTGCTTATTAAGTCAGGCAATGACTCGTGAAAAGAAAAATCAGAGGAAGATTAGTGAGGCCTGAAAATGTAACTTTGCCCTCCTTATTGTACAAAAAGTTAGAAGTCAGTAGTTCTCTATCCACCTGTGACACTGAGATTCTCTGCAAATGGTGGACCACTCTAAAGGGCTTGCACAGGGCAAGGAGGAAAAACCTATTAAAATACTGTCTTATTTATACAGAGCATTTTTGCTGATGTTACTTCTCCTCAAGGAACAGAATCTTTTACACTAGCAGGTATTTATAGCATTAAAAAAAAAAAAAGATCAAGTCCTACCATCTGGCCATATTGATTAACTACCAGATCAAAGGAAACCTTTTTAAGGAGGATCAAAACTGGCTCCTACGGTTGGGACTGCCCGCACAGCACGTTGGAAGCCCTCCGCGTCCCTGGCCTGGGGCAGGATGCACGGACGGCGGCCCTGGAAGCCCTCCGCGTCCCTGGCCTGGGGCAGGATGCACGGACGGCGGCCCTGGAAGCCCTCCGCGTCCCTGGCCTGGGGCAGGATGCACGGACGGCGGCCCTGGCAGCCATGTCCCCCTTATCTCTTCCTCATCATCCAATACCATGGCTTTGGATTCCACATTAGCAGTATTCTGAGACACAACAAAGAGGTTCCAAATGTTAAAGGAGAATATAAAGAAACTCCTCCCCATGGTGAACATCACCCAGTGGTTTTCAGTCTCCTTTCACTTTGGGCAAAAAACCCTAGAAATAAAATCTGAGTCATTCTTTGTGATCAGCTCACGAGACTGGTTCCTCCCCTTAGAGGCTGGAAGGGTTTGTATAGTGCTACTCTTACAGGTAAGAATAAAACAACTCGGTGTCCATTTGTAAGACCAACACGAAATCATACTGTTTATAAAAAAAAAAAAAAAGGGATTAAAGTGGAAGTACGTGACTCCTTCCACAAAGGTCTTCACCCTCCTTCCCCCAGAAAAGTGAACACGGTTTCTACATCAAGAGCTATAAAACACACGTGCAACTTATTTTCACTGCATTTTACAAGACCCCACATGAACGGAACAGGCATTAGAGTGAAGTGGGTGCCGTCCCTCCAGACTCCTGGACAGCAGCTTGTCAGCGGGGCCTCGTCATCTGTGCAGCTTTACCACTGTCCTTAGGCAACGTGATCATCCATGGACCTCACCCCTTCAGCTCAGACTGATCTTTGAGTAGAACATACTGAAGACATTCACTTGGATGATTTGGTTTGTAATTACAAATAGAAGTAGATGGTGATTTTTTTTTTGCTGATACTATGCTTACTGTCAGCATCACCAACATTATCATTTTACCACTGGTGGCTCTAAAGCAAATGAGTACGAAGTGACTGAAGAGTGTGGGGTACGGCAGAAAGTCGAGGGAGTATTCTGAGTGTTCTAAAGGCTGGCCTGCATGTTACATGCTTTCTGTTTCTTCTAAGCCTCTGCGACACACGGGATGGAGCAAACAACACAACCTTCAGGGGGTCACAGGGCTGCCATAGGGCTTGTCTTAGCATCTCCTTACTCAGCACCACCCTTTCCTGGCCCCTCACGTGACAGGCTATGGGGAGGTCATGCTTCCTCCACACTGCCAAGGTTGATTTGAAGAGCCCGGCACTGGGTCATCATTACAGAATAAAAACACAAGCCCTTAAAGATAGAGGTAATTCTACAAACCGCTCATCACATAGAAACCCTCTCATGCAGAAACACTCAAGCTCTACCATGAGAGAGAATATATACGATTAGCACATGGGAAATACACATTTTTTCTTGACACTACAGGCTACCAAAACATGCTCCTGTTTTCTAAAGCAAAGAGAAGCTGTTACTAACAGCTTAAAAATGACAACCATAACAGGGACAACTGAATACTTTTAAGGAGCAAAAAACACTAGAGGCTTCTCAGTCTGCTTTTCTAGGTCTGCTGAGTACTGGATACGTGATTTAGGCATGCCAACCATAAGATCACAAACTCCTGCTGCCAGATTTCCTTCCCTCCCTTCCCCCACCTCTCCATCTCTCTCTTTTCCACTGAACTTCTTGGCCTCTGCTGTCACATCAAATCTCCAGCCTTGAATCTCCCGTCCCAGAAAAACCCTGCTCCTTCCCCAAGCTCAAACAATGCAAACCTCCAAAGAGTGAACATTCTCTCCCTTTAAAACATGCTAAGATTCTGAAGAAACTAAATGTTAAGGCACACTCACAATTTTAAAAACAAAGGTGAAAAATGTAAAGGTGCACAAGTATTACACCCTCCACCAGCTTCTGAATACCCAGTTATCCACATTCGCTCAGATGGTCACAAAGAACATTTAACAGAAAACGAGTCCCAAAAAGATGCCTGACGAAGAAAGGGGTTCTATGGTCAAATAAGTTCGGGAACCAGTGTATAGTACATTTCCCCTTTTCCCGTACAAGAGCAGAGGCAAAAAAATGATCCTTTGCTGATAACTGAGCAAACTACATTTTACAAAAATAAGAATTAGTAACGCTTATAATTTACATAGGTGCATCTAATACAGTCATTGCAACCCCCCATTTATCAACCTCTGGAGGTTATGTTGTCCCAAAAAGCATTCTAAGAAACCAAAAATCTTAAAGATGACACTCAAAAATCTCTAATCAGTACCTCTGATCCAAGTGGAAAAAGCCACAAATTCGTGTGTGTGTGTGTGTGTGTGTGTGTGTGTGTGTGTATGTCGAGACTAGATCCTGAAGGGAACAGTGATGGGGAAGGCCACATACCAGCTGTCGTATGTATTCCTGAATGGAGTTTGGATAAACAAGCACAGTGACGGCAACCAAGGTGTTGAGGGCAAAATCAAAGATCTGGTAACAGAAGAACGGGATGATCCAGGCAGCGCGTTGCTAAATATGAGAGAAAAGATGATGTGAATGTGTTCAGTATCATGTTATTTTTTTCCCCAACTCAGACAAATCCTTTCTTCATCTGAAAGGAAGTGGAGGACAAGACATTCGATAAGCCAGGTCATGACAACTGATAAACCACACAGAGGTGGTCAACCAACAAGCCTCCGTGAGCATTCCTGAGACTACAGCACTGGTTTTCCATAGAACATTAATACAAGATTTAAATTTCCAAAGGCTCTTATAGGGAACTGAGAATCATCACTTCTTCCTTCTCACAAGCAGCTGCCCAGGTTACAAGTGTAAGGGACCAAGGAGAAGGCCCAGCCCCCTATTTCAAAGCCGCTTACCTTATAGGCTCCGTAAGTGGCCATGGCACATATCAGGATCATGAGAAGAGAAATTGCAATCGCAATGCACATGTCTGCCAAAGGGTTAGGAAAGAAAGAAAATCAGTAGCAGATCCACTGTTTTCACAATTTTTGTCTCTCCTCAAAGGCATTTTGTCTATAAACCAATTATAAGTGAGAACTTTATATTAAGTAAAACACCCAGAGCTCTTCTGGAATTTGAGAAAATAACAGTTAATGGATATAAAATGTCCAAAAGAAGTTCTCCCTAAATCATATAAGTCTATAGATAACACACTGACTTGCACATAAGTTTATTTTGAAAATGGGGAAGAGATATTGGCTACAGATATTAAAAAAAAGTTTGGTCTTCTGGTCCACTGAATTAGATATATAATAAATTAGGTAGTTGTGAAACATGAGTGTCTCACTTGTATTTTATAAACTCGTGTGTGTCTTGTGCCCCTATTAAAAACCTCCACTGGGGTACCAGGATAGCTCAGTCAGTTAAGCGTCTGCCTCCGGCTCAGGTCATGACCCCAGGGTCCTGGGATCAAGTCCCATGTCAGGCTCCCTGCTCTGCAGGGGGTCTGCTTCTCCCTCTCCCCTCCTCCCACTCATTCTCTCAGTCTCTCTGTCAAATAAATAAATAAAATCTTAAAAAAAAGTAAAAATAAAACCCTCCACTGGTTCCCCTCTCATTTAAAATAAAATATCAATTTCTTATCATAGCCTTTGCGTCTGTGTTTCTTCTAGAGCATGTCTACCTCTCCAATCTCATCTCACACTCTCACCTCCTACAATCCAGTCACACCACTTGGCTCCCTATGTACAATGAGAACATCCCATCGTGGGGCCTTGCATTTGCAGTTCCCACTGACTAGAGGCAACATGACTCACATTTTCACATGAGTAGCTCTGCCTTTTTAATTTTTTTAAAGATTCTATTTATTTGAGGGGGAGAGAGAGTACACACACAAGTGGGGTGGGGGAGAAGGCGGCAGAGAGGGAGCCTGACCCGGGGCTCGATCCCAAGGACCCTGAGATCAGGACTGGAGCCAAGGCAAACACTCAAGCTCAACCGACTGAGCCACCCAGGCGCCCCTAGCTCTGCCTTTTTAATCATTCAGGCCTCAGCTCCGACATCAGCATCTCCAACCGCTCTTCCCGGAATATTCTAGGTAAGGTAGGCCTTCCAGTTCCTCCCACGTCAGTGTCCTATTTTCTTTACAGCACATATCACTACTATCTTACTTACATCTGTTGTGTATCATCTGTCTCCCCATGCTAGAGGAAGCTTTCTGAGGGAAAGAACTCTCTATATCTTGTTTACTCCTACAACCCAACATATAGAAGGGGACAGATGCCCACCACTGTAGCCACTAGCCACAGGGAGGCACTGAGCACTTGCAGTGGGCTCAATCTGAATTGAGATGTGCTGTAAGATTAAAATATACTACAGATTCAAGGACCTGGTACCAAAAAAAAAAAAATGTAAAATATCTCATTAATAATTTTTATGCTGATTACGTGCTAAAATATTTTGGATATACTGAGCTCACTAAGATAAATCTTGTGTCTACCTTTTTTAAATGTGGCTTCTAGGAAATTTTAAATTACCCATGTGCTTGCACTCTATTTCTATTGAAGAGTTCTGGTCTAGAACAATGCCTATATCTCAGTAGGAACAAAATGAACATTTATTCAAGAGGTCATGTTACTCTATCTTTAGAGATTCAGATTAGTACATATGCCTGGGTTCCAGTGTGGGGTGTTCATAGCTAAGATAGCACAAACACCCACAGAGTAAAGGATCTGTATGGTGCTGACAGTGTCCAAGGCACTTCACAGACACCTCATTTAGCACTCCTAACTCTGAGACAGACCTTGTTCCCACTGAGCAGACCGCAAAACTCAGCTCGGAGCTTATGTGACTTGCTGAGACAGTACTTGCATCAAAAGGCTGAACTGTGATTAATCCTCACTCTGGGGATTTCAGATCTCTGGCTCTTTCTGCTAAGACTCCGCAGCTTCTACTTCAGCTTTCACTACTGACCAATGACCCAACCTGGCCTGTCACTTCCTACAGGTATTTCTCCAAAGGAAAACATTCCACTTCTAGAACCATCCTCTCTGTATCCTCAGCTTTAGAGATGAGAGGACATTTTAAGCAGGAGGGCTACATAAAACGCAAATATATCAACAAAGACCACTTGCCATCTTAAGAAAAAAACAACACAAAGGCTCCTGAGATTAATCTACAGATTTAGTGCAATAAATTCATAATGATGCTGGTGACTATTATTAAAGGAGTGAAAATTTGGTACTCAAAAAAGAAAAAAAAATCACTTGGAGGGTGATTAGTACTAGTCAATACTTAAAAGATCATGATTTCTGGGGCATTTGGGTGGCTTAGAAGCATCGGCCTTTGGCTCAGGTCATGATCTCAGGGTCCTGGGATCGAGGAGTCTGCTTCTTCCTCTCCCTCTGCCCCTTTCCGTCTCTCATGTTCTCTCTCTGGCTTGCTCTCTCTCTCTCTCTCTCTCTCAAGTAAATAAAATCTTTTTAAAAAAAAGATCATGATTTCTTTCAGGATATATGCCTATTTTGTTATTTTAATCCCTTTCACAGGGATAATTTTAATGCTACGTTAACTTACCTTTTACTCCTTGTGAGGGAAGAGATACCTACAAGGAAAGTTCATGTATGCCTTATTTCATTCTTGCAGGATCAGTCAGGGGGGAGGAAACTTGAATGCATTTTCCATGCAAAACAAAGGCCAAGAGACTGACCTAAAGCCTCTCTGTAGGGAGGCACATATGTAAATACACATGGATGCATTCTAGTGCCTTCATCTGCATATGAAGCAATAAGGGTTATCAGGCTCTTCATTCCTACAGAAAGCTATGACCACAGTGGGATGTCCATCGTCTGCTTTTATTTTCCCCATTTATACATGTGCTTTCTTTCCTCAGTGAACTGGGCACTGTGTTATTTCATTTAATCCTTATAACAACCCTAAGAGATAAGTACTATTATTATCCCCATTTTAGATACGAAAAAGATGATTCAGAGAAGGCAAGTTAACTTGCCCAAGGCTGCCCAGCTAGTAAGTGGTGGATGGGATATTCTTCCCAAGCAGTCTAACCCCGGAGTCAATACTCTCAGCCAGTATGCTACCCAGCTGGGAAGAAGGTAGATCAGGCAGTAATGCAGGTCAAAGTGCGGGGAAAACCACACAGCCACCCTAAAAGGAGCTGGACATCAGTATGTACTTGCTAAGAGCAAAACCTATTCAAACTTACGGTAATCTCTGAAACTTGCACTCAGGCAAAAGTTTATTATTTTCTTGCCTACTGAGATGGTTTCCAAATTCTGTACAAGCATATTTTATAATGAGAAAAAAATTAATTTAATGGAAGCCAGCCCATTTATAGGGTATTCTTTACTTCACAGATCTCAAAAGAGACAGATAGGTAGACAGACAAACTCAAAGCTGTATTCAAAAATTTTAATATAACCTATGAAAATTAATATCCTATTCTGAAGTAAAAAGAAACTCCAGAACCAAATCTCACATAAATCATAAACAATGTTTAAATGTACATCTTTCTCAAAGAAGAGAAATTTATTTATTTTTTAAAAGATTTTTATTTATTTATTTATTTGACAGAGAGAGCACAAGCAAGGGGAGCTGCAGAAGGACAGGGAGAAGCGAGACTTCTCAGCAGGGAGCCTGATACGGGACTTGATCCCTGGACCCTGAGATCATGACCTGAGCTAAAGTCAAGATGCTTAGCTGACTGAGCCACCCAGGCGCCCCATCAAAGAAGAGAAATTTAAAAGGCACAAATAAAAGTCATAAAATATCCTATTACCATTCATAATGACATACTACTTACCATTAAAAAAATGTTAATTTGAGATAAGGAAATTTTCAAAATTCTGTTCATACAAATGATTATACCAACCACACTGACCAGACTGAATATATGACAAGCATGTGAAATAGCTTAGGTAGAATCAAAGTGTAAACCAATAAAAACACAGAGCAGATAAGATAAAGCAGGCTTCATAAGGCTTCTCTCCTAGAAAACAAGAGCACATGTTGATTCTTCTGAAATAATGTGTAGTGCACCACGGTGAGCATGAGTTACGCTGAGGGATTAAAATTCATTCCTGTTATTTATTTTTATTTTATTTATTTTTTAGATAGGTTCCACACCAGGATGGAGCCCAACACAGGGCTTGAACTCACGACCCTGAAATCAAGACCTGAGCTGAGATCAAGAGCTGGACGTTTAACCGAATGAGCCACCCAGGAGCTCTAAATTCATTCCTTTCAATTTGTCATGGGTAAATGAGGAAATGATTCTAACAACAATGTACGGATTTCTACAATCAGTAATAGTACTATTCAGTGACAGGGACATCACATCCTTTACTTATTCTTGGCACAGTGGCTCCCCGTAGCAATCTAGTCCAAGCTCACTGTCCTCACACTGTTCCCTAAATTAAATTCCTGCTTTAATAATGCAGTTCTAATTTGAAAAGGATCCTAAGAAAAGCTATACCACAGGCCACAAAAGGCTCATCAGACAATGTTTTCTGATACTTAGTCAATTAATCAGTGAAACAGAATAGGCATATAAAGGTGTTCTCTGAAATGCCTCTCTTTCTTTCTCTTCTAATTGTCAATTATTAGTGAGACTACTTCTTCTTAACTAATCACCCAAATCTCTCATTTCTTTCTCCTGCTCATTTCCCCCTCCCCTTTTTCCTATTTGAGTTGGTTTCTATCTCTTGTAACTGAAAGTGTTCTGCCTAACACAATTTGCAGTAGTTCCTGAATATATTAAGAATATTACCTTTTTGTCTATCATAAATGTTGCAAATCATTTTCCCAATTTATTTCTCTTTCAACATTACTATGCTGGTCTTTGATACAAAAAGGTGTATGTTGGTGTGTGTGTATACGTGTGTTTTCCCTTACAATGATTCAAATAATTTCTTGCATTGTTGTCTCTTGGCCTTGATGTCATGAAACGCCTTTGTTTAAATACTCTTATTTCTA